CCTCTCTTTCGTCCCTGGTCCAATGGAAATCCTTTCAGACCGCTCCGGTGATCTTGCGCACGGATGCGCTATCCTTCGAGATCCTTGGACCGATCCTTCGATCAACCCTTCGATCAATCCGATCAGCTGTGAGCGGCAGCCCATCCGTGCGCGGTGCCCTGAACGTTACCTCACGAAACTTGACCATCGACATTAACATGAATGTCCAAACTTATGATTCTCAAGCACCTGCTTGTTTCCTGGAAAAGTGAAGAAAAACAAAACATTCTCTGTAAGATCTTCTGCAGCTATGGAACCGCTTCAAATAGGCCTTGGGCAATTCTGACAGGGTGTTTCAACCGCGTGAAGCTGTCAGAGGCACCATGTTCCTGAAACATTTTCTGGTTGCCCTACTTGCATTCGTTTGCTTCTGCTCTCGATCTGCGGATGATCAACCCTTGGTATCTTGAGGCAAAATCGCCCAAAGTTTTGTCAGTAGTGAGGGTGGAGTCAGCAACACCAGGGAACATGAGGACCTGTCGCATACTTCAGAGCACAATAAACAGGCAAAACAAGTTGTGTCAACTGACGAGTATTTACATATTATTGAATCAACCAACCAAAATTCAGAAATACATAATCACCCAACCTTCCCTAAGGAAGACTCGCAATCGACAAAGCAAACCAGAACAACTGTCACGCCTCTTTACAACCCCATACCTGCGTGTGAAACGTGCACCTCGAGAGCTAGGAGTGCTTGGGATCGGGCAAATGGGAGCCACCGCGCGGAGGCCTTTTGCAGTCTTTGCACACCCTCGATACGCTCCACGCATCGTGGTAGGCCAACCTTAGGTAGTCATAGCATGTCAAAAAGTGCATGCTTGGGTATCAGTTTGTTTGATACAGTACCCAACAAACAAGATGTATCAACAAACAAAACTGGGAAAAAAAAAGCAAAAAAAAAGTGGTGCAAGCAAAATCAAGGGAGCACATCTAATGCGATGAGACAAGCGAGAAATGCGGACGGGTTTTAGATAAAATGTCTGGGGGATCCAACGGGCATCATGTCACAGGTGTGCAGCAAGGTCCGCAGCTCCACATGATCCTTGCAAAATTGCTTCAAACCAGTTGGAAAATTCATTCAAGTTGCATTATGATGCTCTTCTGACCGGAAAACTGTCAGCTCCAAGATTCGTATCAAGTTGGACTAAGTGCGGCTAAGTCCTGCCAATTGGCCACCAAAGAAAAGCAAAGTGCAGCTCAGTCTTCGATGATTCGGACTCTCAAACTCTCCTCCAGTATGCCCCTGAAGAATCATGGAATAAGGCTCTCCCTCGGGGCCAAGAGCATTCAAAACGCAGAACAAATCCAAACGACAGGTCTTAAGTCTCAAACAGTTCATTGGAAAAACAACATGGCAACTTCACCCTGCTACTTCTACGGATGCACGGCTTTTGGGGTTGCGTAGAGCACACATTGCCAGAGATCAGAGCCAAGTTGCTTCATGCAGCTTGAGGAACACATCGGCAGTGTAGTTCTTGGCGAACGAACATCCTCCCCATCCTCCCTCCGATTTTGAGGCTGGGGCGTCCAAAAACCAAGGCACCGAATTCAGATCTGAAATCGAAGGGCTCGCTGCGAAACTCACATCATCAAGGTCGCATCTGCCTTGCACAAAGATCAAATGCGACTTCGAGTGAATTTGGGCAATCCCATGGGAGACCCGCAAAGATCCTCAACATTTCGTGGGGAACACCTTTTCTCACGCATGTCCACGTGTCAAAGGGGCCTTCCAAAAAGGCCTGTCAAAACGGTGTTTCTGTCAAACGCAAAAAACTATTCCCCGAAGCGACCCATTATTGGTACCAGGAGACGCTGGAGTAGACACCCAACCAACAAAGGCGCTCCAGACAATGCTGAGCAAAGTTCCATGGCTCACAAGTCAATGACTCTTGGATGCCCAAGCAGCAACGACGAAGCGACTTCGTGGCGCTTCTATTTGAAAAATGGACGCCTGCGATCTGCCGAACACACGATCTGCCGGTGATCTGAACGCACCCTGCACCTTCCGAGAATCAGTGAGATGAAAGTATGTTCAGTGCTTTTTTGAGGGGCACAAACCCTCTTCGAGCTGAAATTGCCATGGCACATTCAGAGTTGAAAACTGCACCTTCACGATTTTGCATCGCAGAGATCACAAAGACATCCGAAATCACCATGTGTTTGCTGCGAACGTGAGGCATTGTTTATCAGAAAACAATTTTCTCCATTGCTGTTCTTCTGCTTGCTGCTCTGCCATACTGCATGCCCAAAGCAAGGTAGTCGCTCTATTGCCTCGAAAAAGGCAGTTTGCACAAAGGAGAGCAAAGAAAAGATTGTCCAACTAGGTCTAGGTCGCCTGCAATTCAAACTTAAAATTAACCCAGCCGCGCAACCCAACAAAGGTAGCAATTCAACTGACTTGAATTTTTCACACACTCCAACTATGTGTCGCTGAAACTCCAAGGCGAACCCAATCAATTTGTGAAATCTAAAGTGAGCTGGGGAGCAGGAACTGGGGAGCAAAAATGGGAGGAAGTGGGGCGGAAGGAAAGCGCATCAGAACTACAAAAACGTCGTTCCCAGCACAAGACAGGTGTGTTGTTACAAACCCCTGCCTCACTGTTGGTCTTACGAAGTACTACTGCCGTACAAGTGAATGGATGTGAATGGTAATTCAGGCAGAAAGCACACCACAAGTGCAAGAGCGTGTCGCCTTGCTGCGTATAAAACGCGTTTAGCGCCGCGTAGACTAAACGCTTTGCCACAAGATGCACTTGTAGTGCATAAGTTGTTTGCTGGTGCAGAAACCCTGCTAAGTGCATGCACACCTCACACCCCTGTTCCAGTGCTGCGTACAGGCCAGCTTTATGGTGTGTAGAAAGAATGCTCCGCGACAAGGGCAGGAGTCACACTACAAGCACAAAAGCTGTCGGTCCAGGAACGCCCTGCTAGGTGCACGCAACTGCCTGTGTCATTGCTGCGCGTAGAAAATGTGTCCATTGCGTGTAGAAAGTGTTTCGCAATGAGGGCAGGACGCACACCACAAAAAGAAAGATTGCTTCGTAGCGGTGACAAATGGCACCACCACAAGCAAACAAACTGCCGCCGTGCCCTGCTAAGCACCCGCCATTGCCCGTGGCATTGCCCCACGTCTAACTTAGCCCTTTCATTTGGTGCATAAAAGGTGTGCAAAAGCTGTTGCCGGCGCAGAAACGTCCTGCTGGTCATGCGCAGCTGCGTGTGGCCTGCCCGCATACGACTTAATTTCCGCTGCGTAGAAAGACTGCTTCTTACCAGCGGCGCAATTGAGAATGCTGCTGTGCAGATGAGATGACCTGCTACGTACACGCAACTGCTTGTCGTGGCAAACACGCGCGTAGAACTCTACAAACGCAAAAGCTGTCGCCGGTGAAGAAGCGTCCTGCTACTACGAGCGAACAAGCTGTTGCGGTTGCAGAACGCAACTGCCTGTGGCACTGCAAGGCTTATAACATTTTCATTGTGGCTTGTAGAGTGAATGCTCCGCAATCGAAGCAGGAGGCGCACGACAAGTGCAAAAGCTGTCACGGGCAAAAAAGAGTGCCAGGTATGCGCAACAGCCTGTGTCCTTACTGCGGGTACGTTGTGTTTGCGCTGCTTAGCAAAAATGATCAAAAATGTCCTGCTAGGTACATGGACCTGACGCGTTTTCCAGACGGCATTCTGAACACAGCACCAAGGTTGTCCGAATCCTGTCCCGGGCCGAGAGTGAGGCTCAGACAATTTCTGGACGACTTCTCTGACAAGGGTCTGGTAGGATCGAGACAGCTACATCGTCGCAATATACCGCTTTGAATCAACCTTGTTGCTTGCTGTTTGGGTTTCCGTTCGCTATGACCCCCGAGGTGTACAGCCAATGCGATTCCTGTTGAGATTTATATACCTCCGCACATGATACAACTGTAAGCTTCCTGTCGGAGGTGGTTCGATGCCTTTATCTCGGCACTTGAGTACAGGTCTTGTCTTGTTTTATCCAAAATATATTCAGTGTGACACGTTTTAGCTTGCCAGATGAAAGGCTTGGGGCAACTTTACGTAAGCTTGTTCTGTAACTAGGACCAAACCCAATGTACCCGAGCTTCATCATTGAAGGGCACGGGGCACCTGGATGATCACACGTTGGCTGTGGACCAACTGTTTCGATTTTGCTGCAGGGCATCACCCTGAAGGGTGGGCAGGGATGGTGACCCACCCCTTCGGCGATAGATGACGTTTTGTTGAGTGTGTGGTGCCCTTCGACAGAGCAGTGACAAGTTACAAGTTCCGTTTGCCAAGCAACAAGCAACCAATGTGCGACTGGTATCACAAAGCACACTGGCTCATGTTGAGGCTTGGGCTGACCAAAGACATCTCCCACCAGGACCAATAACAAGGCTAAACGTGGCCGTGCCTGCAGAACTGCTGCCTTTAACAATCTTCAGCTGTACCTCCCTATCCCAAGTGATTCAGCCGTCCGGATTCTTCTTACAGCATGTTTGTCGTGAGGCAGAACAGATTCGCTTCCTTCCTCCCAAGGCCCATGGTATAAAACATCTAGGACTTGCCAAAATAGATGCTCAACTTCCATGGAAGACCGAAATGTCTGTCTTGGACGGCCCAAGACCAGTTCCTGCCGTGGCACAACAAGGGGTGTTTTTAATAACTTAATTGAACCAGAACGTGCTTCCTCACTCAGCGAAAGGCGAGCCGCAGACTGCCATGTGCCTCGGACTCGGTTGCAGTGACCAATCTGCAGCAGTTCCGCCGGAGTCTTTGTAGCTGGTATTGGATGTCATCCTCGGCATAGGCGTTCTTCAGGAAAGCTTTCCGACAGAGCCACAAGAATTAGTTTGGATCCTGAAGCCTTACATTTGACAAAAACTACCTTTCCCATTCTTCCTCTTCTCAAACAGAAGCAAACTCTGTGCCACCTTTCTTCAGTTCCTTCAGTTCCTTCAGCCTCAGATCGGTGCTGTGAGAGGTTCCTCCAGAAAGGCCAAGGCAGCGAAGGTCCAAGCAACGCTCAAGTCAAGCCCTGGCCCGGCCATTTGTTCGGTGTTGGATCTTGCCCACTACCCAGCTGGGTTTGTTCGGTTGCTAGCTCATCTACCGGGGACGGTGATCTTTCAACTTGAAGCTGCCCAAGCGCCTTCCAACTCCAGTTTTTCACTCTCGGATGTCCTCAGATCAATCGTTGACACGCTGTTGATTGATGCGCAGAGTGCTGCATGTCGAGATGCTCGTAGTCTGCCTCGATCTTGTCGACTGCCACTACCTTAAAGCCGACTCATTTGAGGCACAGATCTCAGAGTTGTCGAAAACTGCGGTTGTAAGAGCTGCAAGTGGACACCCTTCACAACACACAAAACAAGTCGACCATCTCCAGGTCTGAAACCAAGTCGCGACTAAGTGGTTGATGGAAACGAAGTCTTGTTGTGAAAGCAAATCGAAGCAGGGCTGATCTTTGGCAACATGCCGCCGCCATTCCTGGCACTTTTTGGGCAGACGTGCCAGGAATGAGCTGAAGGATGGTATCGGCCAAGCTCACGACCTATGGAATCTGTACATGACATGCATTCTTGTGAAGAAAGGCATTAAACAAAACATACATCCGAAACCTTTCAAATGCCTACTGATGTGTGCTTGCTACCCGAGTTATGAGTAGCATTTTGTGATTAGGACATGCTAGGGCACTTTCCCGGCATTTGACGAAGGCCCTGTCCTCATAGGTCAGAGACTGCGGTGGTTCCTTTGGCCGGGAGTCTTGGCAAAGCTTCCGCAGGTGTCGGAAGGCCGCAGCCGTATCCTCCGCCCACACCTGCGCCGTTGCCGTCGTTGCTCCATCTCTCGGTGTTCCCCCGCAGTCCTCTTTCTATCAAAAGGAGCAATGGGCATCTCTACTAGCGGCTCCTGGCATCGCTACTAGGAGCAAGGACGCTACTAGGGGCTCCTGGCCTTATATACTACTAGGAACAAGAAGCTACTAGGGGCTCCAATAGGAATATCTTGACGGAATCGTGGTGGCATTTTCATGCCCAGTGAGCTTAGGTTGAACATCTTTCAGGAATGTCCTAAATTTACCACCAGCGCTTCAAAGGCTTCATGGATTGCCCTGTGTCTTCACATGCGATGTCTTCACCGATGTCTTCTCATGGGGCGAACTTCCCCGTCTCGCCGCCCCCAGCCCGTCTCGCCTGGCTGTAGAAGTCCTTCGGAAGTTCCGGCGTTTGAAACTGAGCCAAGAGCCCACCTCTGCCGTCGCGGCCAGTCAAGGGGCCGCCCACCTGACCGACCAGTCGGGGTGGTGGTGGGTCATTCGTTCGTGGTCTCGTTTGGGTTTAAAAAGAAGAAAGAGAAAAACGATGAAAAACGTGTGTTTGACAACAAAGGGGCCGCCTTCTGCTTCGACCTCCGTTCTTTCACATCGACATCCATCACCTGTGATCAAACAATGTGATCTTCATGCTGCTTTTGCGTGCCTTTGATGTCTTGAGAAGGATGTGGAAACTCTTGGAGGGATCCATGCAAAGCTTCAACGATCTTTGCCTGTGGGCAGTGAAGGCGTTCCCACTGCACTTGCCGCAGGTACTCGTCGGCATCCTGAACTGCAAGATTGACAAGTGCAACATCCTTCCGGATGGAGGCCATCCATGAGGTTG